GCTAGTGGGAGGTGTCCCTGCCCGTGGCAGGGGGGGGCACTGGGTGGGCTTTAAGGTCCCTTCCCACCCAAACCATCCTGGGATTCTATGAAACGGATTTAAAGGAACAAGAGAGACAGACACAGTGTGGATGCTCCTCCAGCAACACCTGCAGCCACAAGACTAAGACAGAACAGGGCAGCAGGAGAAGGGACAGGCTCCAACCAACATCACCCCAGTCCTCACCAGCGGATCAGTGACTATCTCCCTCCAGCAGCGACACACCAGGCTGAGGTTCTGATACAGATCCATCACTGGTAGGAAAGCAAAGATGTGCCTTAGGACTTCAACGGGCAGCTCATCGATACTTCCCCGAGGCACTTCCCAGTTCCGAGTCCCCAGGAGTCCGTAGTGTGCATCAGGGACTGGTTCGATTTCCATATCATCAAGTTCCTGCTTGATCTGGCTGAGTTCTGGGTGAACCACCGCTGGTTTCGTCTCAGGCTCACCCCACAAATCGTGCTCTGGCTTGTGAACGCCCACAGCTGCAGCGGACAGAGGCTGCTTTTTGGAGCTTATCCTGGAAGCTGGTAGAAAGTCCTCATCCTCCAGCAAGGACCAGGAATCACCGCTCATCTCCATCTCAGTGGAGGCACTGCTGAGGGAATCATCAGGTTCACTGAAGATGGGATCCAGCACCTCTTCTTTCATTCGACTCTTCGTCCCACCAGCACCTACTTGTTGTGTCTGAGAGATCTTGAAGTAATCGGTGATGTTCTTCTGCTGACCTTGGCCTGCAGAAAGAGGAAGAGAATGGAATCACGGCAGCATGGAATGGTTTGGGTGGGAAGGGACCTCAAAGCCCATCCAGTGCCACCCCCTGCCATGGGCAGGGACACCTCCCACTAGCCCAGGTTGCCCAAAGCCTCATCCAGCCTGGCCTTGAACCCCTCCAGGGATGGGGCATCCACAGCTTCTCTGGGCAACCTGTAAGCATGAGTGAAGTCAATGGAAACAAGCACAAAGCTAGAACTGAGCTAACGAGGAGACCAGAGGTTTTGTAAGGTGGTGGTTATTTCCACGGAGTTCCTCGCAGATGTATGAGCTTACTACAGGTGAACCATCCTGCTTCATATTGCTTCTCTACCGAAGTCAACAGAATGACTTTAATTTATTTGCACTGTCCACATAATTTGAGCTCTGTCAAGGTACGTCTGACACCTCCACGAGCTTCTAGAGAAAGATACCTGGGCTAGTGGAAGGTGTCCCTGCTCACTGCAGGGGGTTGGACTAGATGACCTTCATGGTCATAGATGACCACCTTCCAACTCAAACTATTCCATGATTCTGTGATTCTACACCATCTGCATAACAATGTCTCAGATCAACAATCCCTAGCTACGTAACACAGATGTGTGTGAAACACAAAAACCGCTGCAGAATGAATTTCACGGGAGACATTTCCACCAGACAAAGAAACAGCAATAGGAAGGAAAGAAAAAGCGAGACTTGAGTTATCGTGGCGTGCCTCCACCTGAGGCTGGGCTCCCAGCAGTTATTTACTGTTCTTAACCCAGCTTTTCTAAACTCTCAGCGTGTTTCTCGTTCACTGGGTTCATAAAATCACAGAATGGTTTGGGGGATTGGGACTGGATGATCTTGAAAGTCCCTTCCCACACAAACCATCCTGTGATTCTGTGATTCTACGAACCCAGGGAACGAGAAACACGCTGAGAGTTCAGAAAAGCTTCAGGGTTTACTGCTCTGCACCATGAGCAGGTCAAAGCACCGAGCCTCCAGCAGGGTACAAGAGAGAATGATGCCTTTAAGAGGATAAACAGCTGGATGCTTCCTGGTTGCAATGGCAAAAGCGCTGGAGACTGTAAAGGAAACCGAAACTTGGCACGAGACAGCTCTCAGCAGCCTCTCCTTTCTCCGATACAACTAAACTTCCCAGCAGCAATGGCATTCATCCTGTCTGTCTCCTCTTCTGCAAAACATCCTCCAAGAGGCAACTCGAGAAGAAAAAAATATCACAAGGGGCTACTGCGGATTTTCATGCATTTTATTTCTGGATGCTCACGCAGGCGTAGCTCAAAGAGGTCTGACTTGCAAGACGCCGCTTAAAAAAAAGAGTTTCCCTGCTAGGGTTTGAGTCCAATACCCTAAAACCTGCAGCATCTAAGATTACCAGATTTTTTTAAGTGGGATAGTCAAAGATATCGCTGATACGAAAATGGAAAAGAAAATTATGCCTACGAGCAGAGTTGAGGATGCGGGCGTTTTGTCCTGGCACACAGCAGATGTTCTCACGCCAAGGGGCAGAGAGATTCCCAACCTCCCAGGAAAACACCGAAACGCTCCGAAATCTCAACTTCCACAGCGACCAAGGCGCTCAGGAATAACTCAGGATTTTTTTCCTTTGCTTTCTACCTGTCTCCTTGCCTATACGTGTCGTTACACAGGTTTTGAGGCTGGGCCTTTAACCCCACACCGTTATAAATGAGCAATTCCAACGTCGGCTCGAGCCCTGAGCCCTGTCGTGTGCAGATAAGTTCAGACTCATCAACCCTCAAACGCCCTCTAAGGCTTTGCCGTTTTTAGGACCCACCTTTTGAGCTGTTATTTCCCACTTCCAGGGAAGTCAAAGATCATTCATATCCATTAAGTGCTCAACACCACTTTTTTCCAGTCCTATATAGCTAGACAGCTCGTTATTATTTAATAAGCATCCTAAAGAGCATCTAGAAGCAGAGTCCCGTCATTAACAGCGGCTAATTGCAGGGGATGTGGTGTTCCTCAAGGAGAGCTGCTGCTCTGAAAAAGGGGAGATGGAGATGAGATCTTGGGAGGAAGATTTTCCCTGTGCGGGGGGTGAGGCAGTGGCCCAGGGTGCCCAGAGAAGCTGTGGATGCCCCATCCCTGGAGGGGTTCAAGGCCAGGCTGGATGAGGCTTTGGGCAACCTGGGCTAGTGGGACATGTCCCTGCCCATGGCAGGGGGGTGGAACTGGATGGTCTTTAAGGTCCCTTCCAACCCAACCCATTCCATGATTCTCTGTTAACATTTTTCTCCCCCAAATCTCTCCCCCTTCAAAGATATCCGCAATCATTGTACCTCCTGGACGTCTCCTTGTCCGGTGGGTGGGGTAGAGTCCCCTGTTTCCATTGCCTCTACTTTGACTCAACGGTTGCGTCAAGGATGATGAACCTTCCGCGCTGCGGGCGAGAGCTTCGCAGTCGTCGGCCGTGAGATGCATTTTCTTGAATCGCTTCACTGCTTCGCCAACATGTGAAAAAAAAAGACCCCAAAACCAAAGTGTTAGCAAACAACAATATACAATTTATGCACAAACACACATTTTCTTTTCAGATATTTTATAGGACACTCCCAGAGTTTCATCCAGGAGTTTTCTGCAAATAAATCCCAGCAGAAGGTTGTACAACTCTGCCAGGTGCCCACTCCTGCGTCGTACGAGGCTTTGGAACAAAAGAGAATGATGTAAAATCAGCATCCGTGCAAGTTTTGTGGCTTTCTCCAATCCCGTAATGCAGAGGAAGCACTCGTGTAAATGCAGAGTACCACCAGGAGGATGCTGAGGAAGCATGCGGGGGCGGAACTGCCCCATTTCCCCGGGAGATTTGCCCGGGGAACATCAGAGCCAAGATTCAAACACACCAAATCCAGCTTTTTGCCAAGAGATCCAAGCGGGGCTCCTCCACCAAGGCGGAAACACAATGACCCACCTGCAGCACAGCTCTTCCCCACGAGAAGGACGATTAAGAAGCCGCAAAAAAAAAAAGATCCTAAGAATTATTAAAAAAAAAAACCCTTACTTGCAATCTGCACCAGCTCTTCTCTTTCCTACGGGGACGGGCCAGCAGAAAAAAAAAATACAAACAGGGCAACTTGCTTCTACCAAAAACACTCACGAGAAACCCAAAGAGAATTATCAGCAAACATCGCTCGAGCGGTTTCACTTTTTCTTTATTTCTGCGCTGTGCTGCGGAGGATTAACGCCTCTAACGTGTTCGTGGCAGCCACGAAAATAATTGATGGACCCGGCAGAGGAGGATCCAAGGGTCAGTTTGCGTCATCGTGCTACGTCCTCCTTTTCATCCACATCAGCTCAACGGAGCAGCGCTAAGGGGAGGCTGTGTTCTAGCATCCCACCTTCCTCAAAACAAGGCAAATGAGGCAAGAAGAAGAAAAAAAAATAACACAAGAAGGTCCTGTGGCACTTGGGGACACGGTTTAGTGGTGGGCTTGGTGGGGGGAGGTTTAGGGTTAGACTCAAGGGTTTTTTGAAGGTAAATTATTCTGTTCTAAGATTCTACTTCAAAATTGTATTTTTTTCACTTAAAATGGAAAAGTTTTGTTGGATTAAAGAGCACAAATCATCGACACACCCCAAGCACACGGTCCTGGCAAAACTCAGAGTGGCTCTGTGCCCGTTCCTGGAGCTGTCAGATGCACAAAAAACCTCAGGACAGCAAAACCCCCTCGTGCCAGCACCGCAGCACAGCGTTCCAGTCCAGAAACCCAACAGGAGGAAACATTGGGATTAAATGTTTTCCTGTGCGGGGCGTGAGGCAGTGGCCCAGGGTGCCCAGAGAAGCTGTGGATGCCCCATCCCTGGAGGGGTTCAAGGCCAGGCTGGATGAGGCTTTGGGCAACCTGGGCTGGTGGGAGGTGTCCCTGCCCATGGCAGGGGGTGGCACTCGATGATCTTTAAGGTCCCTTCCCACCCAAACCGTTCTATGACCCGCTCACGCTTTACCTCCGTTCATCTTTTTTCCCCTTTTCTCAAGATTTTCCAGCAGCAGAGACCCAAACGCTGAGCAGAGGTCCCGTTATGATTTATGGCTTCGGTCACATCAGGAACATGATGGGGAGCGGAGCCCGTCAGCCAGGAGTAGACATCCCAGCTGGGAAGGGAAAGGAGAAGACATCCCAGCTG